ACACACACACACACACACACACACACACACACACACACACACACACACACACACACACACACACACACACACACACACACAGAAGGAGTGAAAGGAGACATACACTCACACACAAACAACAGACTCAGGCGGTGGCATCTTGAAAATACATAGTATGTATGAGACAGATCAGTGTGTGGGGTTCTCAGGTGTCAAATTGGGGACAAGTCCGAGCATGTGGTGACACAGGATGAGTCACACTCACACACAAACACACACACACACTCTCTGTGCAGCACAATATGTCTACGTTCATGACATAACATCTCTCATGGTATTTCATTTTACACTAAGTGATTTGTTTGATCCAAAAATAAACAGAACATTTAATTATACACTGTTAGTGAAGTATTTACCTCTGAGACTATTGCTACTGAACCCTGAACCAGAGTTAAAATAGAGCAACAGCTGCCAAAGCTGCGGGGGAGAGACAGAGATGGCCGCTCAGTGGATAAAACATAAATAAAATGTCTCCATATTTAAGGGAAAGGTTCCCTCAAGGCCACCTAGGACTCTGCAGGTTGACCTCTAGCCCTGTCATGAGAACCTTTTACTTTCCCTGGTGGAATCTGCACCAGTTGCAAAGGCTATACTGCACAGGCTTTCTGTCTTGAAACTGTAGAAGCTGCTGAAAAGCCAAACCTGGCCTCAGAAATACGTTCTGTAGACAAGCGGTGAGGATCAACGCGGCACCCGGACCCTGTGATATTTGATCAGGCTTGACGCATCCCATTGCGTCTGCCCACCCTGCCTCACCTCCTCCGTCTGCACACACCCAGCACTTCACACCCGGTCCCGGGGATAAGTGGTCCCTTGCTATAAATACCGACACAGGATGGAGGCTTGGAGGGAGCCAAAAAAGAGCAGGCAGTGGGAGGAGGAAGGCGAGTATGGCTAAAATATAAAAAGTGAGCACCTGTTAATAAGGTGTCAAGGAGTCAAATGTGAGGTGACGCTAAAAAATAAATTCAGAATCTGTCAACTTAATCTCCAGTGTTGCTGCTTATATCATTTGCCCCAACACCCTTCAAAACAAACACCCACAGAGGTGTCACTGCTGGATCACACACTTGAGGGAACCATTTTGTACTTTCCTGAGTTTCAACACCTACTTCTTATCGTGCTGCCACCCCTCTCAGCCTGTCTCTCTGCCTCCTCGTCCTTATCCTCCTCCCCTCTCAGCCTGTCTCTCTGCCTCCTCGTCCTTATCCTCCTCCCCTCTCAGCCTGTCTATCTGCCTCCTCGTCCTTATCCTCCTCTCCCTATCACTCCCTGTCTGATTCTCAAGAAAACAGGTGCAAGGAGTGTCCACTGCACACACAGACTGGCACATAAACACACTTCATACCTCATGCCTTCTCCAGCCCCGCCTTTCCCTTTACCAGAACCTGCAGCCAAAGCATGCGGAACATTTCCTTCTGTCCTCGTAGCTTGCAGCGTCTTCAGTTTGAGGAGCAAATATAGCCTGTCATCCATGTGAAAGTCAGAGCAGTGCAGCCCTCAAACAATCCACTACCAGAGGGAACAGGGTGGCCTATTCATTCAGAAAACAACTGTCAGAGCTCCAAGCAAAAGGGGCTATTTTTCCTTGAGGTGAACTGCTGCTTGAGATATTGAAAGTAATCATAACTTCATGTAGGCTGTATACACCTCCTGCCAAAAAGAATGTGTAAAATGGACAGTTGTGGTGGGTTTTCAGCTTTCACTCAGTTAGGATTAGCTGACAGGGGGAAATCACCTTATGTCTTTGGGTGCAGTGAAAACATTCATCAAGGCACATGTCTGTCTACCACAGGTTTAAAAATCAACGTCAATCAATTAAAGACATCTCTGTGGTACGGCTCAGCCAGTAAGATCACTCTATTGTCAAACTGGGGGCTGTGACCTCCAAGTTTCTACTTCTTTAATTAACTTAGTGAAATATTTTTTTCATGATAACTGTAGATGTGTCAGCCCACAGAGAAGCCATTAAAAACCCAATAAACCATAAGACAAGTGAGACTGACTAAAGAAAACCTTTGGTTTACTCTTGCCTGACTTCCTTATTTCAGTTCAGTTCAAATTGACAGGGGGGGGAGGGGGGCATATATGTATTCATTTGATCACATGTATTAATTTAAGGTGCTTAGCTGATGTCCTTATGCTTTAAATGTGTGAGAGGGAGAGGCGCCCCATTTGCGTAGTGTTGTAATCCTGCATGAAGGATGCGACACTCACTGTAGCCGAACTGGTTGTGTTAGAAATTGCATTAAAAAGAAGTCAGTACTGGCGAAACAAGGCCTGATGCAATTGTGAATTTGGAGGGAAATTTGTTGTTAAAAGTTTGGCGGCAACGTTGTGCGCGCGTTCCTCCATTCAGTCGCTAATGAGAATGATAATTTGTGGCTCCTCTGATGACCCCTACCCCCTTCAATAGTGACTTCTCCCGAGGGACATGAAGGCGCAGATCCCCGAGGGACATTCAGTCCTCTGTAGGAATCCTTTTCATCACCAGAGAGGAATTCCCGCCTGTTTCGTTTTATACAGGCTACTGTCGATAATTCAAATCTCCCCAGTACTGTAGCGTGTATGTTGTTGGACCTGCTCTCAGAGCAACAGTGCAGAACTGAAGATGTATATAGCCCACATCTGGATAAGATATACACTACATCTGTACAATGATCTGATACTTGTCTTCTGCTCCACATTATATATTCATGTTATATCTAATGGCGTGCTTTATTATCTCTCTGCCTTTCTATTGTATTTTCTGTTAAACATAATGCTGTTGCTTGGTTGCCTGGTTTCCTCTGCGCTGACGGTCTGAGAATTATCTTCACGTTTCCCAACACAAGTGGACCACGAAGCAGATGCAGCAGCTCTACCCCGGTTAACAGACTAAATGTTGCCCCATAAAAACAGAACAGACTCAGTCAACTTCTTTTGCCAGTGCATATAGGCCTACTGCTGGATCAGAATCCCCCCTCGATCCCTCGTGTTCACACCGGACCAGGCTCTGCTTCTGGGCGGCCACGCGTTTGTGTGTTTGCCTCCTCACCTCCGCAGAGCGGCTGCACGACCTGGCAAGCCAGCGGGGATTTACTGACTGGCGCGGTGCCCGGCCACAGGCAGACTAGTTCGCTTGGTTCTCACGACCTCAGCTTCACAAAGGCACATCTGAACTATTAACTCAGACAGTAAGGCAGTAGGAACAACCACAGAACCCACACACGGTGCCAACTGGTGTTTCAGTATGCCTCCTCGCAGAAGGAAGTCACTGGGAGTGGGTTTTCAGTGTGCCATTTACCGAAGGTGTCATTTGCAGGGCAATGGCTCTCAGCAGGGTAAAAGTGAGAACGCAACTACAAGAATTAGCAAATCAATCCAACTGTAAAAGAACGATGAATATCAGGAGTTGTGCGAGTTATCGCTGAAAAAACACCCATCACACGTCACGTGGGCAAGTTACAGTAAAAAAAAAAGAAAGAAAGAAAGAAAAAAAAGCAATAAAGTGCTCTTTTTATAGAAGCTGTCACCAACTTTACTTTTTATTTTTCTTCAAAGAGAGAAAATCTCGGACATGTTTCTATTTATTCCAAATGTTACCAATTGCCAAATAAACGAGTTTAAAATGTTTCTTTAATCATGTGGAATTTTTATATAGGCTATCTTTATGTTGCAACAACTATTTTCTTGCTTATAACTGACACAATATTAATATTGTATTTTCCACGGTTTAAAAGAGACTTTGATTTTAGGAATGAATATGAAACTTCTAAACATGGATATTTTTCTGTGGCTATATTTGCGCAGGTGATGCGCACATAACTAAATATTTTGAATTGAAGAAAACACCCAGATTGTTTGTCTTGCATGTGCTGATGGCCAGGGTTAAGAGACACTTTAAAGCCAGCTTACTTTTGGCCTGCGCCAGCCATGCGCGCCCACGACGCGCCGGTGGAGTATTAAATGTTGAGGGGTTTTGACCGGCGGTCACCAGGCTGTAACCTAATCCAAAGTAAAGGGGCCCACTGACTGCAAGTGGCTGACACATGGCTAGCGCCACGCCGCCCGACACAGAGACACTGCCCTCAGTTCCGCACCCCACACACCGGAGGAAGATAAGTTTACACTCAGAGATAAACAGAGGCAGCGGAAAAGAAAGAGATGGAGATCTTTAATGCACAGAAAAGTGTGAAAAGACACCTGGCCAGATGTGGGCCACAGATTGTATATGACGCAGGCTAGATCAAATGATTACGTCAGTGAGTGTGTGTAAGAGAGTCACAATCAAGCTTCAATGTTCTATGACCTGCAATAGTTTTATTCGTCTGCTCGACTTCCATCAGGTTTCCCCCGCCATCAAAGTTCCCTCGTTTTCTCCTTTATTGAGGTGTAGGCCCACTGGGAGTGGAATTGAACAATTGACACACAAAAGGAAGCGAGGATCCTTCCATATTCTCCTTTCACTCAGGCAATCTGTTAGTGACATTAACCCCTGAGCGCATTTCCCAGGCTCATGAATAGGGTTTAAGACTTCTTAAAGCTCCCGCTGCATACAGGATGAGACTCTTTTCAAACTTTTAATTACCTTTATAGCAATAGAAAAATACACCCCCATTGTCCCCAGAACCATTCTCTAGTGAGCCAGATGTAAAGAGCTCCCGCCAAACTGGTGACAAGGTGGCCACTTAAAATTTAGTAGGCTAGATGAATTGATATTGGAGTTCATATCAGGCGCATAAGCAATGGGTTGTAGCTTCGTTTTGGCTTCAGGTGGCGGTGTGAGTCTGTTTAAAAGCTACATTCCGTCACTTCACATCAATTAATTAATGTGACTTTTAAGCACGAAGAGTAACTTTTAACTACAGAAGGAGCCTTTATTCTCCTAAATAAAGCACAACAAAGCAACACGGACGTGATAGAAACAGGCTGTGGACAAGACATTAATTTCTGAAAAGTCATTTATTAAAACACTGGGCCATCACCCAACTTCACTTTTTCTTTTCAACACAAAACAACAAAGAATATAAAACACAGCTTTGGTATAACAATCCATAACAACTCTGTACAAAACTAAAAGCTTTTCATAAAAAGTACTTCATAACAAAAGTTTCCTATAATTCTTCTGCATGTACAGCGCGGTTATCACCGACATCCAAATATTGGAATCAGACAATAACTTATAAAAACTATGTGCCATATGAGACAACCCCTGTTCCATAAAACGAAACAATGAGAAGTGCTGGGGGGGTATTAAGTGGTTAGAGTTACCATTCCACAGCGGGAAAAGTCACAGGTTCGACCCCAGCAACAGTTGTGTGTGCAGTCAGTTAAATGTCTAAACTGGAAAAATAATGCAAACTGGTTTCACATGAGTCTCTTGTCCCTTAAGCTACCAAGGCCGCCACACGGGCTCGCTGCTCTCCGAGCCGGTGCTGACCCCCACCGGACTGACCGCCTGGGACCCCCCGGAGAAGGACGTCATCCCGTGAACTGGAGATGCTGCAGTCGGTGCTGAGCTGCCGTGCACCGGACTGGCGTTGACTGCAACAGGCACTCCTGCGTTTGTGTAAAGGGGGATGACTGGGGCTGTGGCGGAGGCAAAGGCCGGGTTAGGGATCAAAAAAGCGAACTGTCCATCGGTTGCGGGAACCAGCTGGAACCCACCAAAGACCTTGGGGGAGACGGCCTCGGCAGGACTGAGTTTGGAGCCCATGGCAGCGCCGCTGATGGGCAGAGTGGATGGGAGCTGCACGTGGAGAGGCTGAGCCAGGTGCGCCTGCTGGGACGGGGCCTGCTGCGGGTAGTTCATGGACATCATCTGGCTCATGCAGCTGGACAGGTGGTTGAGGAGCCTCGACCTCACCTCCGTGTTAACCCCCTCTGAGGTGGACAGGAAGCGGGTGACCTCGTTCATGCACTCGTTGAATCCGGCTCTGTATTTACTCAGGACGGTGGCATCTGCTGAGAGCGCTGCTGGGGGGGAAGAGAAAGGACGGATATTAGTGACGCATTTGTAGCTTGGTGACTTTCAGCAGTTTCGCATTGAGCTCATAATGTTTTTCTGACACACTTATATAAACTGTGTATAAACTTACCGCTCATTTGTACACGCTGCAGGTTCCTCAAGTGCTTCACTGTCATTTCCAGGATGTCTGCTTTTTCCAACTTGGAGTGTCTGGAGCTCTGTGGGAGATAACAAGAAAAGTTGAGTCTGTATTCAGGCCACATTGAAACCAAATAACCATCTGTGAAGAAGGATTGTTAAAGGCGGCAAACTGCGTCTTAACTTACATCTTTTTTAAGTGCGTCCAAGATGAGAGTCTTGAGCTGCCCAAGACTTTCGTTAATTCTCGCTCTCCGGCGTTTTTCCATGATCGGTTTGGATGACTGCAAAAAATAAACAGTTCTACTTAAAATTCTTGTTCACCACTCAGAAATGTCAACATGCCAACTGAACGTCCTGTCACTTTAATAAAACCAACTTGTGAGCTGAAATACAAACTCTGAACTCCCACTTTTAAGGAGACCCAACATATTTACGTGTGAAATTTAAAATCCTTACTTTTCTATGCTCGCTGGCATTTTTCGGTTTGTCCGGTGTGTGTGATCCGTTTGCAGGGGCACCGGCAATAGGAGATGCCGTCTGCTTTTCCATAGTGTCAGCTGGCATCGTTGATCAAACCAGAGGAAAGGCGTAAAGAAGTAAATCCTTTTTTTGGAAGCGCCGCGGAAATGAAAACTTAAAAAAAAAAGTTTGAGAAATTCACTTTGAGCCTCTGCAGACGGTTATAGAGACGCCTGGCAGTCGAGTCCACCGATCGGTTTGCGTTTGTTATCACTGAGCTGTCACCTGAGTACAGGAGCGTGCGTTGCACCGCGCGGGCGAATCTCCGCTTCTGCCTCCGACACGCGCCGCGCCGGTATTTATAGACGGCTCGCGTGCTCCCAGTTCGTGTGAAACCCTCTCTGCATTCTTTCCCACACTCGCCTCAGCCAATAGCAGAGAGGACTCACCCATTGGACGCGGGGCAGAGCGCTGATTGGACAACACCCCCGCGGGCCGTCAGTCACGCGCTGCTCAATCAGCCCTGCAGGGACAAACAACAAAGCGGAGCGAGCAGCAGCGGCCGGGCCGGGCTGTGAAGTGATAAGGCGGGGGACCAAGGGGAGGGTTGGTTGATTGGGTGGGGGTGGTGGTGGGAGGGGGCTCTCGATGTTTGTTTCCAACTTTGCTCCGTGCTCGTTAAAAATGTTACACTGCTCGGTGTGTTTGTGTATAGCTACGGGAAGAATGTAGAGTCTGCACTGGTAAAGTTTTTTTTTTACAGTGCAGCCAGTAACCTACTTTTGACTGTGAAGAACTTTAGGAATCTGTGTATTTATTAGAATAAACGATTTCACCGTTTTCTGGCTGCGTGTGGATTCAAGCCTCTGATAAGAGAGATAGTCATGTGATTATTTGATGTGTCTCCGGTGTGTCACCCAGAATAAGCCCAGAATATGTTTATATTTTCTCTCCAGACGTGTGCCCACTCCTCGGAGCTGGAAACGCCTGCTGCGACTAATAACAATAATGTTTATTTATTAGAAGCATGAACATTTTCTTGGCCTAACATGAAAACAAATAGCCCACACATTTCATCTATTTTTAAGACTCCTCTTGCGCCTCCAAAGACAGGACATCTGTAATGGCACGCGAAGCGGTTTGCAGCAGCTCACATTGGGCCAATGGCATGCGGCCACTTTATGCAAATAAGCAGAGCGCTCTCTGATTGGCTGTGTGAACAGCTCTGTGTCAATCATCCCGGCGCGGGAGCCGCTGAAAGGAGGAGGAGGAGGGAGGCACATCTGTCCGCGTGCCATTCGCGCACAGTCTTCTCCGGTCTACGCGGAGCACGTGCCAAAACTTGGAGATTACAGCGTGGAGCCCAAGAAGCGTATAATGTCAAGTCTGCACTATCTGGAAACAACGACAATAGATCAGAATAGAATAGAATAGAATAGAATAGAATAGAATAGAATAGAATAGAATAGAATAGGAACATCTTGCATGCCCGTTTGGCTACATTAAAAATATAATACTTAAGATGCAGTATATCTCATTTTCTTATGGAAAAAAGGGAACAGCAGTGTAATCCTGTAATAATACTATATCCCAATTACATAAAATCACTGTCTAAGTTTTACAATGGAAAAAAAAATCAGTATTATTATCGTTGTAGATAAGAACAGTAGAACAGGCTACAACAAAGTCAACACAATAATGTGTGCATTGATTAGGCTTTTGTGTCAACGCGTCTCATTGGATCTATTGAGAAAAGATAGGGAGGCATTAGATTTATGTGTAACCATCGATACACACAAACATATTCCCCCTAACATTTGATGGTCGACAGGTCATTCTCCTCAGGTTTGGGTGCGCAGTTTGAGACGAGGTGTGGCAGTGTTTGAAGGAGAAGAGCGCCATCTAGCGACTCATATGCAAAAGTTAACCAACTTAACATGATGGATCTCTAGTCATTTAACAAAGTAAATCATCGCATCTACATACTGTCTTAAGCCTTTAAGTCTTAAATATGAATGAAGCCTACGTGTCCAACGTAATGTCAGTATCAGTTATGCTTTTTTTAATGTCACATGAGATATCGTGATTCTCCTGTGGCCATCTTTGCTCTGCAGTCACTTTCTGTATACACTGCATTTCATTTTCCTAAGATTCAGAAGATTTCTCAAGTATTTCCTGTGACTCCAATCTTTTTTGATGTGGTCTATAAACGAGACACAGGGAGACCTACATTAATCCTTACAGGCAGAACACTTTTTAATTTTTTATTTAAATGACCACAAGGTGGCATATCCGTGTTCAAATTAATGGAGAAAACTAGTAATGAAGCAAGAATAAAATCAGGCAAATTGCAAACGCTATTTTGTCAAATACATTTCACTCCTAATGAGAATATTATTTATCTTGTGAACTTATTTTTCTACTCATATCTAACTAATGGTTATTAAGTCAGACACAAATAAAAGACCTGTCACATTTCTTACATTATCCCAAATATAAAGTTTATAGAAAAGGAAATGAAACAGGTGGAAATGAAGCAGGTGATAAAAAGGAAGTAAAAAACAGTAAAAGAAGTAAAAAAAAAAAATAACAGTTACAAAAGATGTACATGAAGCATGTTTTTATATAAACATTTATTATTATTTATTAGCCTATATACTATTATCATTATTAATTCTAAGATTTAGGCCTGCAAGTACAAACATGCATACACTATACATACACAGTATAGGATTTGTATGTGCATGCATTGCAACTACCTGTACACATGCAATTTATGAAGATGTGTATGTGTGTATCTTAGAAAATATGTGCACACTATAATTATGTTAAAATAATGTTCATAATGCAGCAAAGACTTCAATTAATTATTACTGCGTTACCACACTGTAACAATGTAACTGTGACAAAAATAAAAGCAGACGTGATGTTTACTGTGATTCATTATCTAACCTAAGTCCATGTCAAGTCTCTGCAAGATGACTCATAAAGTAATTCCATTATTTAAAACAAGTGACTTCATGTAAAGCAGAAAAACAAAAAGAAATCCAATCCAATCCAAACTTTACACTTTACAGACACTAATATATACACTAAAACATAGACTATTAAAAAAAGAAAAGAATGAAGAGTAATATATTGAAGTTTCTGAAACCACAGAGACTGTGCGACAGTTGCTGGTCAGTCCTCACAAATCTGCCACTGAGACACAAATTAAAACTTTCTGTGAGTGAACAGCAGATTTCCATGTTAAATCAGTGGGTGTACTCCAACAATAGGAGCATTACAAAGTCTAAGGAGGCGTAGATGTCATAGTAATCGTAAAACTGATGACAAAGTCTGTGATCCTCTTTTGGCTGGCAGTCTATTGAAACAGACCAAATGTAATAAAATTTTGCTAAGCCCTGCTTCAGTCCAGTCTCTTGTGGAGTATCAGTCATTGTTCAGTGGCTCATGTCCCACCCCCCCCCACCCAATGGGTGAGCTGTGCTGAGGCATGCTGGACACTTGTTTACCCAGGATCCCGAGTCTCAAGAGCCAGCTGTGTGTGCTTGGGCTCACATCGCTTTTATTTGCGTTCGGATTGGCCCAAATGATGCAGATCTAATTCTAACACAACTGCTCCCGGCTGCAGTGCTGTTAATGGGATTTTGGTTCAATAATTCCATGTAGGTGGAGCAGCACCTGTTGAACCTGATCTAAAGTCAGAACAACAAAGTCTGACAATTCTTGGTATTTCAAATTCTATCCACCAATAATTCCCCCTCATCATTCCTGCATTTCAAAGATCTGGGCTCAGACAACAAAGAGAACAAGAATTCCCCTTCAACTGAAAGAAACTTTTTGAGTGACTCCATCATTAAAGCATCATTGAAGCTGTTGCCGACATGGCTGACCTGAGGAATGTGGGGAACAGAAATCACTGCTGTTTTTAAGAGATGATCAACATTCACCAGACAAGAGCCAAAAGTACTTGCTTTTTGACTTAGCTTTATGAGGTAGAGGTCTGCAGGAGGAGATGTCGGGGGAGATGAAAGGAGCCAAGAGGAGGGAGAAGCTGTGTTTGCAGATTTAGCAGAGTTCAGTAGTCTGTTGTCCAGATCCGGTGAATGCTCAGCAGCTCCTTTTGACTGCCGCCTGCTTAATTTGTTGTTGTACAATGAGCCTGTGCACTTCTCCAAATCCATGTGCAGAATGCAGAAGGAGAGTCAATTATATCTGTATTAGGTGGTGTCGGCTGGGCAATCCCTTTATACACACTCCCTAATCAAGTGCTAGTAGATGTGTTTACCATGATGAATCCCCAACACTGAGCAGTCACAGTGTTGGCAGTTTGGGTGGCTTTTGCTTGATTTCAGATGTTGTGCCCATTTTTATTAAGAAACAGCAGAAAAGTGACAAAACAGGACACTGATAAACTTGTGGGAACTTCACTTTGGTGCATAAATCTCATCGAAAAGCTGTAAAATTTAAGAGTTTGCAAGATTGTATTTGATCTTTTTTTTTTTTGGGACAAGCACATATTCAAGTAAAAATGTGAGGTTCTTGTATTTTACATCAGCATTTCCATTTTGCTTGACTGTATTCAGAGTGAAATATTAGTTGTTACTTTACAGATTAAGATTGTAGCTACAAAATAGTTAAATTAAGTCCACCTCAACCAACTTAATATATATAAATGCATCATTTATAATTCTGATTATGTATATATCATCTTTTGATAATATTTACTTGGGTCAATGGAGCTGATGGACTCATCTAGACCACCTGTACTCGAACACAGTGATGATGGATCTCTGTATCCTGCCTGATGGACAATGTGAACGATTCATTTCACAGTGTGAGTTAGTTATAATAACTGATGGATATATCTAGGTCTTCTGACTGTATCAAGGACTGTTCAGGGCTATTTTTTGTTTTATTTTTTGTTTTGTTTTTTTATGTACAAATTGTGAAAGTGGCTTTGGTCCCCTGACTTATATTCAGCATAATTATGACTGATGTTGCGAGTGCAACTGGTTTGTGAGGTTGTTACCAGACTGTCTTGTTTGTTTGTTTGTTTGTTTGTTTGTTTGTTTGTTTGTTTGTTTGTTTTGTGTGTTTGTTTGTTTTGTGTGTTTGTTTGTTTTGGTTTTCTCTTCTCTCTTAGTGTTCTGCTTGTTTAAAAAAAACAAAAACAAAAACAGACAAAATGACAGTTTGTAACCAATCTGTATGGTAGATGAATAAGTCTGTCAAAAATATCAATAAAAAAAAAAAAGAAAAACATATCATATGTTATAATCATACAACATATGATAGTCATGGCTGTGGTCA